GTCGTCATCACAACTGCACCACAGACCAGCAGAAAAACACAGAAGGAGGGGAAAAAAAAAGTAGTGAAACTACAGCAGTGTCGCCTGATATCACACAGTACGTGCCAGTTGTTATTGGTAGTGTTTCTCACACACACACACACACACTCACACTCACAGAAACAGGAAAAAAAAAATCCCAACAGACCATTTTGCCCCTTATCTGCATGATTTGCATCACTCTGCACGGCAGCAGAGCGTGCAGTCAAAATTCAAATAATGCATTATATTATTTCCTTAGCTGTCGAGTGGTGACAACCACACGGAGTCTGGTTGTCAATCATCTTATTTAGTAACTTTTAAGACCTTAAAAAACAACAACAAAAAGGAAGAAAAAAAAACTGCATCGGATTGCATGTGTGAATCGTTTGTGGAAGTCAGCTGCCGTTTACGTCACAGCGTATGTCTCCACACGTGTGTGTGTGTGTGTAACCCAGATACAGTATGTGTCCACGCAACAGTCCCAGACAGTGATGGTCGCCAACTGGTAGTCAACACAACACGCAGCACGAACAGAGACCGATTCAAAATCAGTCTTGATTAAAAACAGCCCCACTCGCTCCCAGGCCGGAACTGGGAATATTACATTATGTTCAAACTGGACCAGTTCACATTTGTGGACACGACGACGACGACGATGATGACGCTGATCAAATGCTGTGGTTACGCTCTTCACTCAGTCGTACTTTGTTTTTCATTTCCTTCGCTCTTGCCTCCGAGTGGAACATCCGAAAGACATCATTTACTGCGTGTAGACGAGGCAGGGAAAGGCACGTGTATTACTGCAGTACCGTCCGTCACTCCAGGCCAGTCAGAGTACTGGAGAAATATGTAATGAATCAACATGGAGAGCATGTAGATATAGAACAAAAGTGGCCCAAGACTGGAGCCTTGAGGGACCCCACCTCTGATTCTGATTCATTAATTCTGATTCTGATTAATTATTATTATTATTATTATTATTATTATTATTATTATTATTATTATTATTATTATTATTATTATTATTATTATTATTATTATTATTATTATTATTATTATACAGTTTCCATTTCATTTATTTTCCAACTGTTGTTCCCCGAGAAAATCAGCGCCCACATGGGGATAAAATTACAACCGAAAACGACA